AGAAGCTCATTGGATTATTAATTAATTTTATTTTATTAGCTATGGCAATTTCACTAGCTATTTTTGATATATTTCCTTCAGTAATTTCTTTATGTAAAGGTTTGGTTGTGGATTGTTCATTTATTTTAACGTCCTCTGTACTTAGCATTATATAGCCATTTAGACCATTTTCACTAATTTGAGAATGCCGTCGTATAACTTTTTCGCTCATATAATAGTTTTCAATATATTAGCAGTTTGTTCATTTAATTATTTAAAAAATTTAATATATATAATTAATAAAATTTATTTTTTTAAAAACACTTAAAACTTATACTGTGGCAACACCACATTTACAATTTTAAGCTTTCGTTAACTTTCATATGCTGTCTCTATCAGCTGTTATGAGCAAACTCAATTTTTGTTTTTGTTTATTTTGCAAAAGTAAAAAAATTAATTTTGTTAGAAAGAAATTTTTAAATTACAAAAAACTGAAATTTAGCGTTTAATATCGGGCACCGTTTTTAATAATTTTGTTTTATTTATAATCATAGCTCGATTGATCATACATTGAAATTTAAAATTAGCTTTTTTCCGATTAAAAAACAAAACAATTAAAAGAAGTTGCGGAGTGATCACCTTGCGCGCCAAAAAAAATCGCAGAAGTTGATATGATAGAATTGATATGAAGAATAAAATATTCTAAATACATATTTAAAATTGATTTTATTTAATTAAACTGTATTAATTTTAGGTGATTGTTTGAATATTTATGACTCATTGTGATGCAGAATGTTCATAATAATCTTATATATACAAAGATTAATTAATTACATTTAAAAAATTAATTCAAGCTGTTGAAAAATGAACATATCTGCAGTCTTGACTACAAACGCTTAAGGACTCTTCCGTATCTGCAAGAGACACTGCAGATTAAAAACATACTCCTACTGGTACAGAATACGAATATTTTAAGCATTATTTATCAATTTGTAAAAACCCAAAATCCCTTAGCAATATTGCCCATGAACAGTGACGTAACTACAGGGAAGCGATTGAATGCAACGCTTTTGGGCACCCGAATTTAGGGGTCCCCCTTATAAATTTATGTATTCATTATATTTATTTTTAATAAATTCTCAAAAGTGAGACGTTACGTTTTATGTTGGAATAACTTAAATTTTGGTTTTTGAACAGGGTTGAATTTGTATAATTTCAAGAAAATCCTTAAAATTTCTTAGTGTTGATATTTAAGTGGAGCCAAGAAAAGAAAAGAGCAAAACGAACGAGAAGAAACATCAAAGAAATTTAAGACAATTTTCTAAAAATAAATGAAAACAAAAGTGAAGAAATAAACGATTTAAATGATGTCTTTACTATTTGCTAATTTTGATACACAGAATAACCACATTGTTCAAATACTGAAACAAATCTGAACAGACTAATTCTTCCGACCACGAGAGATTACAAGGGCCATTGCCGAAGAATTATATTCAAGAAAATAGAAGTAGAAAATAGAAACAAAATATGGAACAGTGTCACGACTTTAGTTATGCCATTCAAAGTTATTGGATTCAGTATATTGTAAGCCGTGCTGGTTATTTTCTAATCAAACAAATCAATGGTGTTCTGGATTTCGGGATTGGAAAAATTTGTCAGGAGAAATAAATGTACATACCTACATCTATAAGAATCATTAGGTCAATTTTAATCAAATCAAATGGTGAACAGGGTCCTGGCTTGAAAAGTATGTGTGTAAAGTTTCGTTCGAAAAGTTCAAAAGCTGAGAGAATAGTTTGAACTGAAAAAGTATATATATATATATACTGATATATACTTTATGGTATTTTCGACGTTTCCTTTAATGCGTTACGAAAATCTTGACAAGTCTAATATACCCTTTTTACACTTTTTCGTTTAAAGGGTTTAAAAAAATGTTAGTAGGAGGCAGTTAGTTAGAATTTGCTTATGGGCCTAAAAAATGTAGTTACGCCACTGGCCATGAACTATGTAGATATAGCTTAGAGACATAGAAATCCCTAAGCAATATTGGTCATAAACTATGTAGATATAGCCATTAAAAAACAAAAATCATTTAAGATATAAAATTACAACCTCAAATGATGATTTTTAGTATGCAAGTAGAATTCACTGGTATCTCATTGAGGAAGGAAGCACGCCCTAAAAAGACTCATCTTGCCAAACGACTTGATCTTCCAGAATAACTACAAAGTATGTGATAAAACTTCAAATAAACCAGGTTATTGCATCTATGTATGACGAGTGCAATTTGATGCACTTAACATATCATGTATATAAATTGACCACGAAAAATGCGAATATTTTAAGCGCATAGTCAGTGTAGTCGAAATAAAGCATATAGTATTAGCACACATGCTGATTGAGGCACAGATAATGGAAGTTGAGTTCCAGCTCAAACAATAATGTCTTTAAGAGGCGGAAAGAACAAAGGAGCAATATCAAACTAATGTGTCAATACATCCAGATATTGCCATTTGCAGCACTGACTTACAGAAAATCGTCCCGGTCCCAAAGTCTGAAATATTTAAAAACGATATTTTTGCAAAAAAGTTTTCAGTTTTCAATGAAATATTTGCTACGCCAGGCAAAAACAAAATATTCACAATTATTTCAGTTCTATGGTATAATGTACTGTGAGACTGTATGAAAACATCGGGTGCATATCTGTGAATTTCTTAATTTACATCTTGAAATCTAAATCAATAGGTGCAGAGTTCCACCCATCTCACTGACTAATTTGTTCCTCATAAGATCGTGATTATTCAATGACTGATCTAAGATCTGCGCACCGCCCCACCCGGTTAGTGATTACTTTGAGATTAGATAGCCCTAAGTAGGGCAGCCTGTAGGTTTTCGCATATAACTTCAGGGCTCTGTTACTTATATATTTTTTGACTGGATCTATTCTAAGGATCTATTTCAAACTGTTAGTTTTTTATTAGTTTGTAAGACATTTAAAGTTAATGTGTCAGTGTATTTTTTATACACTTTATACAAAGCATTTAATATTTTATATCCAAAAGCTTATATAGATCTATTAAGTGTAAAAAACCGTATTTATCTTATTAATTTGATATTGTCGATATGACTGACCTTTTTTTTGTAGGAAAGTGGAAAGCATCGAAAGTCACAGTGTGAGACTCCTACCCACTAAAAGCATCACTTAGGAATGTAAAATTTACTAATTTCGTGTATTGGACCTTTAAGGTTAAAACTGGGGGTGTTAATGGATTCACGAAAGGTATGCGTAGCACAACTGCTGATCCCTTTGCATGCGCGTGAGGGGACGGGATACCTTTGATGGAGTTAACACACCCTGGTAGATTGTCAGTTCATTGTGAGCGCTTGATATTTTTAATGTACATTTCAGCACTGAGCAATATGCCGACAATACACTAATGGCATGGGCTTGTAGACACAGAAATGTTTATGGGCTCAAAGAAGAATATTCTTTGAAATTTCATTTATTGGAAATATAGTACGCATGTGCTCGATGTGTTTTGCAGGAGAAAAAAAATTTTAACAAATTTCTAAAAATAATGCTGAAAATACTGAAAATTTTTGTTTCTTACTAAGATTTAATACCGCATCTAAATAAAATCTAAAAAATTAAAAATTCTATGGACACGTTAGGAAAAATTTTTTTTTTTGAAATTTAACGGTTGATATTAGTACTAAAATGTATACAACCATAATTGTTTAAACTATTTCGTAAAAGCTCAATCAATGATCTTTAAAATGTAACAAATTGCAAGTTTCTATGATTTATAAAGGCTGAGATATGGTCGTTTAAAAATACTAATTATCAAAACCCCATGGATTCACATCTTCTAGGGAATAAAATACAAAATTTTTTCCTGAGATACGTGTGTTCTCATTTTACAAAAGGAGCTCATAAGAAAAATGTACCTAAAGACCAAAAAGATGTATTTATATATATATATACATATTTAACCTAATCATCTCTGAACGAAGAACCGTCAAGACAGTCAAAACTTTAAAAATGTTCTTTTTGTTCAATCATCATAAGTTCAAGGATTATCTGCATAAAGACGGTCTTTTGCACAACCCCAAAAATAAGGTCCAGTGTTGAAAAATATATATCTCCAGAACATGAAATTACAAATACGATTATTTCTTGCACAATAAAGTCAAAACAATATTTGTTGTGTGATTTGTGGTCTTCCTCATCTATATATTGAATTTCAAGCTAGAAAAATATTGATGATTCGAGTAATGTGATTGAAACAATCAGAATGAAAAAAATAGATCATTCCCATCATCATCCCATTATTCCTTCAAACTAAATATCATAAAGTCGCTGCCATACACTTACTTTGTTATGAATAAATGGTATTTCGGGTATTATTTTTATATTTTAAATACTCCAGATGTGACAATTTATTTGGCGACATATTTACTAAGCTAAAATTTAACTGGGAAAAGCTTGATACGAATTGGTCATCGTTTTTGTTGAAAAGTTTTACAATTCAACAGATTCATAACTTATTCAACGGATTCGTATTGTGAATTAGAAAACCTTGAACTACACATATGATACCTTGAATCACAATCCTTTGTGTGCACTTATACCTTGTAGAAGATTGTCTATGTAATGATTTGGTCCACTTTCTATAAAAATAGATCTAAACAAATGATTTGTTTATATTATTTCTCTTCTATAATACTATGAGCCAAACGATTAGATCCTTTTTCAAATAATTTCTATAATAATCAAACAATACAAGAACGGAATAAAAATGCTGTTTTTAGACTCTTTCATTAATATACTTAACAAAAAATAATCACTAAACGTATTAATATTAATACTAAGTTCTTTAAACATTATTACATTTCACACTTGCTTACAAGCTAGTAGTATAGATCAACAAATATCTTCTAAACGTAACTCTGTTAAATATTCCTGTTAACTCCTAAAACAAAACGATAAACTTGGAATATAAAACATAATGCAATTCCATTTATTTTAATATATTTATTCAATTTCAAATGGTTCATTATTACATGAAATTCTATTCAAATTAAGTAGATAATATTTGACCATTCGCTTAATACAATAATATTCTGTATTATACATAATAATATATAATAAGTCTTGAGAACTTTAAGTAACAACAGTTGATTCGAATTAATATTCAATAGTAACACATTTCGTTTTCAAATATTCATTAAGTGCTTCTTGACCCAAATCCTTGCCAAAACCACTCTGTTTGAAACCACCAAATGGTGCTGCTACGTCAGTCTTATTATAAACATTCACAAACACAGTACCGGCTTCAATGTTATCAGCAAATGATAACGCTTTAGCAATGTCTTTTGTAAATACTCCACTAGCCAAGCCATACTCTGTACGATTTGCACGTTTCATTACAGAATCGACATCGCTGCCATTGAATTTCGATATTATCATAATTGGTCCAAAAGATTCTTCCTGAGCAATAAACATATGGTCCTCAACATCTGTAAAAACGGTGGGTTCAAAGAATAGACCCTTCAAATTTGGCACTTTTCTGCCTCCATAAAGTAATTTCGCACCTTCTGCAATGCCACGTTCGCAGAAAGCAAGCAATTTTTCAAAATGTGCACGGTGATTTTGTGGTCCATGCGCAGTAGAGCGATTTAATGGATCTCCAATTGCCATCGTACGTAAATCTTTTAAGACACGACGTACAAACTCATCATGTATACGATCTTCTATAAACAAGCGTCCAGCAGCAATGCAGTTTTCACCCTTGTTGAAAAATACTGATGACATGCCCTGAAATCAAGAGAAACATATTAATTAACGAATTAAATTATATAGAGATATAGAGAGATATTCTAGATATAGAAAATAGAAATAGGCACAACACAGGCGCTTTGAACTAATCAATATCTTGTAGCAAGCAAAATATTTCCTTAGCAGATAGTAGGTTAAGCAAAAACAAACATAAATTTTTATATAATCAAACAAATAAAAATGAACTTACATGCTTCACGGCTTTATCTAAATCACAATCAGCAAAAATAACTAACGGACTTTTTCCACCTAATTCCAAGGAGCATTTTTTAATATTAGAAACCGCACATGACTTCATTATAGTTTGGCCAATGGGTGTGGAACCAGTGAAACCCAATTTACGTATAAGCATATGGTCGGCAATTGCTTGTCCTGCTTCTCCACCCCTGCCAGGTACAACATTAATAACACCTGGTGGAAAACCAGCTTTTACTGTTAGTTCAGCAAATTTCAAAGCGGTGAGCGGAGATGTTTGAGCAGGTTTAATCAAGCAAGTATTACCGGCTGCAATACAAGCAGCCATTTTCCATGACAACATCATCAAAGGATAGTTCCAAGGTGTAATTAATCCCACCACACTGTGAAAAATTATGTAGTTATATTATTTATCATAAAATAATTATTAATTTTCTATTCCTACCCAATTGGTTCCTTCTTTGTAAATGTAAGCACATTATTTGGTCTGGCTGGATTAACAGGAATAGTATTTCCTTGTATTTTATCGCACCATCCAGCAAAGTAACGCCATGCGTCAATTGACATTCCAACATGTGTTTTTAGTGCTAACGTATAGACTGCGCCGGAATCAACCGCTTCAATTGTTGCTAGTTCCTCCTTATGTTGTTCCATAAGATCAGCCAATTTGAGCATTAGCTCACCACGCTGTCTAGCTGATATTTGTTTCCATGCACCATAGAAAGCTTTATGTGCTGCTTGTGTTGCCTTATCAACGTCTCCAACAGAAGCGCAAGCCACTTCGCAAATAACCTCCTCATCCGCTGGATTAATCGTCTCTAATACTTGTTTTCCCTCAGCGTCCACAAATTTACCATTAATAAATAGTTGTGTTGGCACTGAAATTTCACGTTTATTTGCTTTAAGTACGAAGCCTTCGAATTCTACCTTAACATTTGAGCTTGAACTGCCCTGTCGAAGACTTTTAACAATTTCAGCAAAGAATTCCTCAAATACTGGTGCCATATAAACATTTTCATTTTCTAAGGGCACATCTAAAGCATCTTTACACTCTTCTACCAAACGTACCACATCCATGGATCCTGCACCGGCAGCAAAGAAATCACTCTCTGCCTCAATTGGGGATTTTAATATTGCTTGCCATATATTGCGTAAAATTTCCTTTTTAGAAAGTTCATCTTCAGAAAAATCTGTAATTTGCTTCACTTCTGCTTGCTTAAACCAATCACAGGCATTAATCATCTTGCTTCCTTTCTTTATACGTCTCACATTTACAAATGCTCCGTCTGTACCCTTAATTAACAAGCCTTCATCGTGCACATATGCCTTTGAAGGACTTCCTTTCAATGTTAACGATTTGGCAGGTGTCTTTAAACCAGCTGAAAACAAGTGTGCACCAAATAGGCGTATTTTCTCCTCACTACCATCCTCATGTATCACTACAGCCAAAGCACCTGGTACTGAATCAAGTCCACGTACATAATTCCAAATACGGTCTGCATTTTGATTTAAATTTATGTACTGATTTTCCTCTTTAAACATGGCAGGATCATAAGTGGCACCAACTTCGGTTTGAGTAATCTTTGGGGCAGTACCAGCAGCAACCATATCAACAGCAATACCCATAGACTTAACACCTTCTGGATATAGAAAACGTTTATATATTGTATCTAATGTGTCGGTGGGTTCCAAAGGTGTTTGTTTTATTAAAAGAATTGGACCAGTATCAAGACCATCATCAGCCCAGAATATAGTGAAACCAGCAACTTCATCACCTTCAATCAAAGTCCAAGATATTGCACTAGCACCACGATGTCTAGGTAATACAGATGGGTGATAACAAATACTACCTAAGGCAGCACCATCAATTACTTCCATTGGTATAAACTGCGAACAATAGGGTAACACATTAAGTGTAGCATTCACCGACTTATATTGTGCCAAAACTTCAGGTATGGCAACACCTTTACGACGCCAGGATGCAAATTTAAAAACAGGTATCTTATGGTATGCTGCTGTTGTAGCTAAAACATCTTCGCGACTACCCTTATCTGGTATTGTGAATACACCTACTATATTATACTGCTTTGATAAGAGCAATTCAAGCACATCAGCTGCAAAATTGCTCTGTCCAATGATTGCAATGCGTAAGTCATTCTAAAAAATACAGAAAAATTGAGAGTATTAGTGGTAAAATAAATAATATTAAACTAATAATATAATATTAACAACTTTTTACATATGTAGTATGAATTTAATTGTATTATCCTGCTATTGCAACATTTATTCAAAAAGAATTTAAGTGATCAAAGAAGAACTATAAAATAGAAGTTTTCTCTTAATAAATTGATTTGAACAATGCCTACTAGCTTTTAATGGTCCAAACAATATATCAAAATAACCATTTAATCGAAAGGATTACCCTGTTTCTTAAAATCTATACTACATTGATTTAAAGCAATTTATTATTTGGTTTTTTAAGGCCATGTTATGTAGAGTGTTATTGGATCGTCAATTTGCCTGTTTTGAGCATGTTATGTAGAGTGTCACAGAAATTGTAATAATTTGCTTCTAAAAGATACAAATGTTAACATTTCTTACTGAAGAACACTGCTTTGCCTAAGTGACAAGGCACAGATAGACTCGGCTCTCATGATCAAATATGAACCGACATATTGTTTTTTCTCTCACTTTCAATTATATAATTTGCGTTTACAACAACAACCATTTTGCTCATGACGAGCCGATGACACTCTACATAACATGGCCCTTACCAATTTCATTTTATTTTAAGTAAAAACAAATTCCACTCAAAATCATTTAATATTATATTCCTTTGTGTGAGACTTAATACTATAAGATACTTATGTTTTTTTTTTGCATTCAGCACTTAAATAATATTACCACTTAAGGCGCACTTAGGAAATACTTAAATCACTTCATGATAAGGAAGTGAGGATGATGCTTTCACCTTAATAAGTATATATTTTTTTCTAATATACAAATATAATCGAATAGCAAAAAAAAAAGTAATTTTTTATTTTAAAGAATTTTTAATATAATTGGATCAATCGTTATAGCCAGTTTAAAAAGCTAATGTTTGTCCCGAAAAATCTCTTAATAATAAGATTACAATAAAACAAATTACAATTACTGAAAAGAGCTAAGCGTACAATCCCTGTATCCTACGAAATTTGGACTCAAGGATATGATTATTTTAATAAAATTATTTATAAAAAAATCATCATCGTGATGTTAGTAATATTAATAAAAAAATAAATTTTCCTATCAATTTTAATTCACACACAAACAAATTAATTTGCTGAAGGGAGGTTTCATGCAATTTATTTTGTGTTATCAGTTATGATTTCAACTTATAAAATTTATAAAAAAAAATTAATAAACAAATAAAGAAAATAAATAATATTTTCTACTTAAAAATTGTAAAAAAATCGGAATCATATTTCACAAATTGAAAAGTCTCTTTTACTCAAGCTCATCCGTCTCGACATTTACGCATTTTCTAAGTAACATTTTTTTATTGCTTTTATTGAACTTAGCTATCGACAAAGTAATCCCTTTCGCTGCTGTAATCAAACAGGCATACTACTTTACGTGATTCCTCTGGAACTATTAATAGCGAACTAATGTGCACAGCAAAAATAACTTCCCCAGTGTTTAGGTTCACCACCTTTGTGTGAATAGAACGATAAGACATCAGAAAAGAAATCACAGTTTCATAAACGAACCTAGTAAGTGATTTAAGTAAGAATTTGCCTATACTTAACCGATAGATATTCTTAGGAAATGCAAGCCTGAAATCATCACAATTTAGATATTTCGGTGAATTGTGTATGACTTGGGCATAATACTTAAAACACCAACAACAAAACTGAAATACAACCATGTACAAATTCTTTCTGAATTTTATAATAGTACAAATATTGTGTTGTCTTCTAACTCGGTACATACCAATGGACTTTCTTCACTTCATAGTATTATTTTTGGAATTTGTTTTTTCCTGTCACAAAGAAATAAATTTACAAAGATAAACTGTTCTGCAATAGAACAAAAAATAAAGTTACGATCATTTAAACAACAAAGACGTTAGTAATTTTTATGTTAAAAATGGCTTACATATCAGAGAACTGCAGTAAGTGCTCAACACTCGAATCATACTTGAATCATACTCGAATCAGTGACTGTGTTTCATTTATATGCATTTTGACTCTATTTTTTCGTATATTCGACTCCACCTGATTCATACATACAGCTGACAGCACTTATAATAATTTATACTCTCCTCTCATATGATATTCATAAACACCGACATTCGACACAAAGGTGATGCAAATGATGTATGAATCATTCATGAGTATTACGTCACAGTCGGTAAAAATTTGTCTGTTGTTCTTTACTGTGCACACAATTTGCTACTAAAGCAACCGCACATGAAGTATTCAAAAACACAAACAAAACACATGCATTTGCAATGCTAACAACAACAGCAACACGCAAACTTTTTGCTTAGCAAACAACAGCGTTCACACAAAATTTTTTCGAATGCTAAAAACGATCGATTGATTCATTTTCGATGAGTATATGAGTATACTCACCCTGAGTATATACTATGATTCATGAATCATTTGCCATTTATGCTTATCTACTTAGAAATGTATATGCATTCTTGTGGAGCTGTGAAGCACTTATGAATCATTGCTGTGGCGTATACGAATGCATATAAATAGTGTACGTGAAAAATATTTATACGCACTTAGATTTGGTTTTTTATGAGTGTACTCTGAGTATTAAAATTATGACTCGTTGTAGTTCTCTGCTACAATAAATAGTTAAAATAATTATAAAAACAAAATTCATTTACACATTTTTTTTTGTGTGAATAACAATTTCCAAATAGTTTAATGAGTATTTTCAATTAACATATTTTAATAATTATAATAATCCTCGCAATTATACTAGGCACATCTTATACATAATTTCAGTTCTAAACCATTTAAGTTAAAATAGCGCAATATGCATACAAATTGTAATATACATTTTTACGAGGGAATAGTTCTATATATAACGATTAACATGTATAGAAATATATACCAAACATAGTTAAACTGTATAAGTAACTGTATTATTGGCGGGTTTAAAATATAACATAAATACGCATATTCACTTTTTATGATATTTTCTGTTTATATATGTATAGCATCGGTTTATCATAAATTTTATATTTATATAATCTCTGTACATACAAACCCTTACCTATATTATAACTATTGGCTTAAATTTAACATTTTACTAACAGTTACTACCCTTGGTTTCTACTTTTTCTCTCTATATTTGTGTACATTTATTTTACGTAATTCTCATAGACACAAACCTAGATCACTCGATTGCATATCACATTTTCTTTGTGATATTACACCTTGAACAATTTTTCAATTGTTACGGAACATAACATTATTTTTCTAACAAAACAATTTTAAATAATTTGTTATGCGGAACGAAATACAGTTTGTAATATTTTTTTTTTTTTATCTAAGTTTTTTGTTTCGCTACGTAATAAGACCAAAAAAAAATTATTTTAGTTTTGTGAAACCTTTGGTATGAAAAACAAAAATGTTAAATAAATATCATTTTTATACATATGGACTATAAACTAATTAAAAAATTTGATTATTTCCTAAGACCACTCATGATGAGTACTTGGCAGTACTCGAAACAGCGTTGTATGGTCAGCCGAATTTCAATAAATTAAAGAAATTTTTGTCCTTGTCCTTTCTTTGCTATTCGAATCCTTCTAAATAACTTCTAAATAGTTTCTTTTCATCATAAAAACGCGTCACTCTCGGCAAGAAAAATTTAACGTTAAACATCGTTTTTATTACTGAAAATTAATGCATCCTCTGTTTTTTGAGGACCGTGAAAAACTGTCAGAAATTGATGTCGGAAGTTTCACATAATTTTCACAGAACATAAATAGGTGTCAAGGTGAAGCAGTTAAATCTTGAATACAAGTATCATATAATGCTTCTAGGATACCAAGTCACTCGAAGTGGGAACATATTGAAAACTAGAGCTTTAGTGTAATGCAATGGACCCGTAAACGTTTTACGTGGAATCTGTCGCAATCTTACACAAAATCGCCAGTTAACCTAAAGTTAAATTAGTTAAAAATTTTTGAACGTATTTTACTAGTATCAAGTTATGCTAGACCAATGTTGTTAATGAACTATAATTGAAGGAACTAAAACTAAATCAAAACTATAGTATTTACAAATAATCATATAACGAGGCTTTAATAAGATTAACTTTTTCATACTAAGACCGGATAATTGGAGTCATTAGAAAATTTAATATTCAATTATATTTCATTAATGTATTAATAATTGTATAAGTATAATTGCAAACTAAAAAAAAGTAGGCACTATTTGTTAAGACTACTGCCTTTTAAGTCTTTTTAAATTTTGTTCTCATTTAATGCAATTATAGTATTATATTATAGATTTTTTCAAAATCAAAGGTATTTTGAAGCACAACGACTTATATCACGTAATAAAAAAAATTTTGTATTATTATTTATAAATTAAACTGTTCATGTTTATAATTCTATAATTTATCAGACTCTTGATGCATTACAATTTTATTAAAAATTTAATTTAATAATGGTAATTTATATTATTCTACATATTACTAAAATTTCATAAAATAATGATTTACTTTTTAAATTTTTATTTACTTCGTACCACTCAAAAAATAAATTTTTTTTTTAAAATAAATAATATCTTTAAAAAATAACAATTGAGATTGAAAAAGTTAATTTCAATAAAAATTTGAATTTAATTTAATTTAATTTTTTACATCTTCTATTATTAATTAAAGAATACTTTAAAATGATAAATATAATTAATTTAAAAATAATTAATAAACAAATTTATATCTATTAGAAATCTAGTATGTACGTTACTTTTAAGTGTGACTTAGTGAAAATGGGACCACATGTAGTATGAGTTAAAAAAAAATTTAAAAAGGATTTCTGTCACCGCCTCTATAAATTGTTTTATATGACACATATTACAGTTTGTAAGTCCATTTATTAAAATATTTATTACATTATAATATTATATTATTATAATTATTTTGATTTATTTTTTATATAAATTTTTTTGTTCCAATTCGAACCTATTTAGAATTATGATCGAACTATCATTTGTTATTTTTTTCTATCCAAAGTAGCAGAAATGTGAATAAATTATTTATATTAAATTATTATATAAATATATGGTAAAATAAAAACCAACAAAAAATTATTGACAATTGGCAATTCAGAAAAGCCTCAAATAGCAAAAAAAATTATATATATAATGTGTGTGAAATAATATTTTAAAACAAAACAACAATATTATCAATATTTTCTAAACTCTATTTAAATTTCATTAATATTTAACAGATTATTTTAGTAATAAACTACTAACGATTACAGCACTTAAAATAAAAACAATATTAAAAACTTACAGCTTAAATCGACAACTTATAATAAAATTAAGTAAAGGTGAGAAAGTACTGAACCATTATCCGCCCTATGCTCTTACTAAGAGCGGTGTCTTTACCCAAAGTACACCAAGGAAATAATAATAATAATATTATCTATTAAGTTTAATTGCCAATAAAAAAAAGTTGAATTGATTAAAAGAGATTAAAAAGATAAATTTATATTATTGAAAAACTATTCGAGGGACGTCGTCATATTAAAGGGGTCTTGGAACAATCTGATCCCTGTAAAATCTCACAAATTATTTATATATAAAAATATTGCAGATATATTTAAAAAATCCTCAAATAAATGCAAATTACCTGAGTCAGCAAATTTAATAATTTAGTTTTATTCAAACAATATAACTAAATAAAAATAAAAAAATGTTAAATTATACGCCTTAATATAATAAAAGCTTAATATAATAAAATATGAGTTTTAATAAAATATATAAAAATAAATTGTTTTATTTTTTCCTCAGTAACTAACATAGAGTTTACATATTAACAGCCAAAAAGTTTATAAGGACGATTCTAAGAGTCTACTAAGGTGCGTAAGTTATTTAAATTTGATAAAGTATTGTTTAGTAACCAAATATTTCAACCAACTTTTTTTTTATTATGTACACTACAAATAGTCTATAAAGTCAAGCGAAATATTTGTGAATTTAAAATTTGTTTATAAATTTAAATAATTAAATGTTTGTAAGTCATTTATAAAAACAATATTTCTCTTAAGTATTCATATATATTTTTATATACTATACTATACATAAATATACTTTTATTTGTTATAATTTTTGTTAATTACAATATTATATAATAATATTACCATATAATAATTATAATAATAGTATTTATTAATATTATTGTGATTATTTGGGATTCTCCAAATATTTTTCTTAATAAAATATTAGTTTACTTCGGTTATATTTAATTTTTAAAGCACAAAAGTCTTTTACATGATATATATTTTACAAAGTGAAACATAATCCTGATGTAGAATGTTTTGTTTTAATTACTGTTGTATATAATTAAAACATTGTTAAATTCATTTACTATATGTGTTAATTTTAAGTTTTATTTTTATATATATAGATAAATGCTTTCTATGTGTAACAACTACGACTAAGTACTTTTATTATATCTGCTTATTAGAGTCCTCTTTAAATCATTAAAATGCAAAAGTTTTGTTATTTATTAATTAATTTAGAGAAATGTTTTTAAAACTGCAACATACAACTGAAGTGATTAACACCTAAATCTAAATACTAACTTTTTAATCTATGCGCATTTATTACTTATTTTTATTATAAAAAGAATATGAATGACAAATTGAAGATTACGATTATTAATTATATCTATTTGTATATCTAATTATTCCTATTTTCTTAATATTTTAGTTTACCTTAGAAACCCAAAAACATTTTAATATTTCTACAAACAAAACTTTTAAATATACAAAATTATTGTGAAACATAAAAAATTTAAAAATAAAATAATACATAAAAATTAAAAGAGATTTTTCGTAGTGAACAGTAGTGAACTACAACAACAAAAATTTTATTTTTTATATTATTTTGATTAATTGAATTTTTGGCTGACCATGCAGCTGTTTCGAGTATTGTCAAATACCCATCATCAGTGGTCTTGGAAATAATTCTTGTATTAATTTATTCATAAATAATTATTTTTGATACTGCAAGTACCAGAAATCGAGTTCTGGTTCAGCCAAATGTGAAGCTCAGTATCAGCGTACCTTAACCAACTGACCCAAAGCCCTACTATTTTTCTGGAGTTTTGTTACTTTTGCTGTGAAAGTTTTATTAACAAATTTACTTGCTGTGTTTATATTGGAACGAAATCATAAACCAGCTGTAGAATAATTGAATTAATTAATTAATTATATTTTTATTTTTAATTGTTTAATCTCGATACTACTCTGTTAAAAAAAATGCTTTGGTCAGTAATCACCTGTTCCCAGGTCTTCTTTATAAAATCAATTAGTATAATTTATTAGTATAATCCAAGTATATATTCCACAACAATTTTTAAAATATAAAAATAACATTTAATTATCTTTTCATTGAAATTAATATAAGAATATATTACTTTTACTTTTATTCGAGAAATGTCGTATTATATTATAATGACTTTTTAATGTCAATAAAAATATATACTTCATTTTGTTATTTACAATTTTTGTTATTCGTTATTTATTTGTGTGTGATTTAATGTACTCAAATGTACTCTATATTCAATCAAATAATTGTAGTTTATATATATATACTTATATTAAAATGTATCTACGTTGACATTTGAAATTATGACCGATAAGAAACCCCCCATGAGCATTCAAAATAATTTCATATTTACTTTCAAGCACGCAAGTAAAGCGAAAGTACGACGCCGGCCGAAATTGTGTTAAATGAAAATCAAATAATTTTCGATATTATTTGTACAACGAGCTTTTTATAGAAAATAAAAAAAAATAAAAGAAACCAACAATGAGCAAAATAGTTTAATAACATATTTAAAATATTAATAAAAATGATTTTTGATTTTATTGTTATCACACTTAATTATTTATTTTAATTAAATTACTTTATATAATTACTTAATTTTTTAAATTATTTTACATATTATTCTATAAAAATCTTTTATATAAAAATATAATACCAAATATACTAAAACCGAAATTAAATTACATATTATGCATATTTAATTATTTTAATTAAATAAATATTTTTACGAATCGAATAATTACGAATCTCTACATACTATTTCACTTTAAGCAAGAATAGAATTTTTAACACAAATGACGGCAATAAATTTAATTATAAATTAACGCATTATTAAATTTCTTAAATTTAATGCATTAATGCAAAAGTGAAACGAAAAAAAATTAGCACTTTAAAATTATTTTATAATTGATTAATTATATAAAAACTTTCATTAATTCTTTCACAAAAAAACTAAAATAAATTGATTTAATAGAAAATAATTTTATTTGTAAAAATTTTAAATACTAACTGCCATTTTAGTCTTCTTTAATATAATTTAGCGGGATGGATTTTGTGTATATATTAATTTATTTTTTATTTTAAAAAACACTTAAAAGCACTTTCTGGCGATTAATTTCTATTAAACGCTATTGTGGCTTATGAACTTTTAGTTAAACACTTTCCAAATAGCCTAGTTTAGTACAACTAATCGTAGAGAAAACTGCTGCACTATTGAGTGATCTGCAACAGAACAACTTTATATATACTTACATTTGATTAAAAAGTTTTTTACTTTATTTTATTGTTTGAACTTTTTCATAATCTTAAGCTTTTCAAATATTATCAACAAATCAGCTGGTACAAATACAGCAAAAAAATGGAAGTTAAAATATTTAATAAACATATTACCATATTATCGTACAAATATTTTTACATAAATAAATATTATTTAGATTATTATAAACTAATCAGTTATTGTAGTCGGTTTCACTGACTATTGCAATGAGCTAAAAATTTGCACTTAACGATTATTTTCTTAAGCTTTTGTGTGAAAAGTTATTAAATTATTGATATGACATTGGTACAAAAAAAAATGTATGCTTAAATATGGTTAGATATATGTTAAGCAATGTTTCGAACTGAAAATTTTTTTTGTTTCGATTCAAAAAAAAAAGAAATGGAATTGTTTCGTTAAGTCTTTCGCTCTGACATTGAGGTTTTTACGATCCAGTTTAAAATATTTTTAGTGTCTGCACTATTATAATTATATAAGTTATTCTTTTAAAAAGCATACTTAACAAATTTATTTAATAAATAAACATACTTATCCGTTTTAATATAAAAACAACTTTTTAAAAACGGTTCACATTATATATAAAAAATGTTTGCGAAACGCCACAGACGATGGATATTTAAAATATCCCAAAATAGCTATGTAGATGGCTAAAAATTTGATTAAATAAAAATAAAAATTTTATTGGTATAAATCAACACTGTTCAAAAAACCATAGCCTGATATATTTCTTTCAGTTGGGTCGGTTTCCCCTCCTACAAATATACCGGTTTATGGCTTAGTTCCGATTTAGAACTTTGCTATCAGCTAAATATATAAATAAGTAATAAAACTTTGCTAAAACCATTCAAAAAAATAGTGTAATAGAAGATTAAAAGCCTTGTATAAGTTTCATATATTTCAGTTTTTGTTTTTATTAAGTGCAAGTTACAAAACTTATTAAAATAAAAAATACAATAATTTTAATTTTTATTTAACATTTTATTAAATGATTTTTAGCGTCCGTTTTGATGAGGAAAGTAAATTTCTAATATAAACTATTGTTTTTGATGGCGAGGTTTTTAACAGTAATAAAATCGCAACAACATTTAATTTTTTATTTAATTTATATTTTATATAATTATGTCCAGCAATACTAATGCAAGTATGGTCTGAGGTACATCGATTGAGAATATGCGTTCCATACGACAATGAAACGCAGTTAGGAATAAAATTGTATTACATTAATAGTTTTAAATAATTAATTGCATATAAACTTTTTACACCATCTATACCTTAGAATTTATTCTTATACTAGCGAACCCGACAGACTTCGTTCTGTCAAAAAGATTTGAAATGTGGCAGTTTTATGTTCCTACCTATTTTATAGTCGGTAAAAAAAATCTCCTCAATAGAACCTGGTGTGTAGGGTTCAGCTTCTCTTGTTGAGTTATGCGCCTACCAATACATTTTTCGATTTATTTTCATATATAAGATTAAATAAAAATTAATTTTTGAAAAGTAGTAAACTACAACAACAAAAATTTTAATTAATTGAATTTTTGGCTAACCATACAGCTATTTCGAGTATTGCCAAATATCCATCATCAATGCCCTTGGAAATAATTCTTGTATATAATTATTCATAAATATTTATTTTTGATACTGCAAGTACCAGGAATCGAATTCCGGTCCTGCCAAATGTGAGTCTCAGAGTCAGCGCTTCTTAACCAAAAGACCCAAAACCGTACTTGACCCATAACCATATGTTTTTAAAAATAAATTCAATTATTTAAAAAATAACGTAAATTCTACATAACATAAAATTTTAAGGAAACGTATGTTCGTATTCAATAATTGAAATATTAATTAAAAACAATAATAATATAATTGACTAAACAAATTTCAAAAACACATTTTTTTAATATTGTTTTTATAAAAATCAATTAAAAATTATTAAATAAAACAAAAAAAAATGTGAATCGATATGAAATTGAAACGACTATTATATACTAACTTATAAACACAGCTAAATACAATTTCAAAGAATATCGATATTGAAAAAATCTGGAGTCTATAGTAAGCAGCGATAATAATAAAAAGGTAAAAATAAAAATAAATCACGGGAAAAAATTGAGAATGATAAAATGATATAGTATTGAATGATAAAAATAGTAAAGTTCGGAAAATTTCACAGAAAAAGTATCTTCTGTTATGCAAAAGTGTTTTACAATCGAATGCAAGTTAAGGTTATAAAATCTATACTATATTGGCGAACATCCACGCCCAGTACCGACTAAACAAAGATCTATTGAATATCTAAAAACTTATTAATAATATAAGAGTACTAAAATTGCTGTAATAACTTTTAACAACGTAGTCTAAAATATTTAACAAAACTAAAACCGATAAAAACTAAATTTCTAGCAAACCGAGCATAGTTAAATCACGTATATAGTTTATGATTCTTCTTGATATAATATAATCCTAAATATAATACTAAACTCAGTTGCGTTTCATTTATATATATATAAACTCGACGACTAAAAAAAATAAACTGATTCAAATACAGTGCCAAAAATCGATATGAAAAGTGATACGGTACACGTTATAAAAGTGACTAAACCCTTAAGTTTGACAAGACTTGAAATAGAGTTTTAATAATTCTATAATAAAACCCATGCAATGAGTGCTGAAGTCCGCAATAACAAAGCACCATAAAGTATTATGAAGTATCATAATACTTTATTTTGCGTATTTGAGAAACTAATTTAAATTAATATTATAATATTTTAATAATAATATTAATGAAACTGTTAACAAGCAGCAAAATTTTAAATGGAACTGTACTCTTATATACATTCATATGTGTCCTTACACAATAAATTTTGTTTTGAATACAAATATGTTAAATGTTAATCTAACCATTTAGCTTTTTCGAACGTCGCTAAATATATATCATCAGTGAGTGATCTTTAGAAACATTTGATGGTTCGTATATAGTTTTTGGACTGTATGTTATGAAAGCATCAAGTCTTTCTACAATTTGCCATTATTTGTAAAAAAATATAAAGTCAGTCAACCACAGATGAAGTCTAATTATTAATAAATTTTTGTATTTAAAGCAAGAAAAATATCTTCAATATGTATTTATCTTTGTACGGAAATAGATAACTTTGTCATTATGACATTAAATTATTTAAATATCCTTACGAAATATATACATTTGTACATAATATAAAGTTTCTTTTATCTTCTCCTCCAGATTACTGGAATGAGATCTCAGCCAAATGACTTTCAAGTCTGACGGCTGAGGTCTTAAAAATTTTGTGACCAAGTCGAATAAATAATTAGTATTTGCAGTCGTTGTAGGAAAATTTAGGGAAACAAGATATCTCAGATTTGATGTTTGTTGAATAAGAACTTGATTTATAAAACAAATCAAAAACAAGGTAATAAAGTTACAAAAGACCTTAATATAAAACCTACACTAAACCAAGATCTGACCAAGATCTGTTTATTAATATCAAAAAAAAGTATCAAGGAACTTTAAAATTAAATATTGAATATGTAATAATTAAAAGAGCTATATAATATTATTTCCTTTTTTAATTCATGTTAGAAATTTTATTTTTTACCATAATTCGTAATTAATTTATCTACCTATATAATAATTTCATATATCTTAAGAGCATAGTTGCTTTCACGAATTATTGGATACTAATTTAAAATTATATTATGTATTATTTACAACTATTTTATCAAGTATTTATTTAAGCTATCATACCTGTAATATCGAAATTATTTGCTACTTTTACATTAATAGTATACCGTAAGTAGGGTGTAGTCTTTCTCTCTTTTTGTCTCTTTATACCTTATATGTACGTTAATTTAGATGACAAGCAAAATTTCTTTATCAATGAAATATATATGAACATTTCTAACTTTATAGTCACACATAATTAGAAATTTTAAAAATAAACTAATTCCGAATAACAAAAAATATAAACAAATAAATTCTACTAACCAAGTACTTTTCTTATCAATTTTAATTTTATTGGTAACGATAAATGTATCTTGAATATGTAAGTAAGTAAGCTCGCCGAGTGTCTTTAAAAACTGCACACATATGTATGTAAGAAAAGGTTTTGTTAATATTTCAATGCAATGCAAATAGTAGCAATGTATGTACACTGTAAAATGATCTATTATTAAATAATACTATATTATAACTCTTCAAGGTAACTTCTCTGCAAAATTCTTAAAATAAACTTGCAAATTTAATAACTAAACAATAAAAGTCTTCAAAGAGCTTATATTGATAATAGAATAGACAAGTATTATATGTAATCGGAGATAAAAGATTTTATGATCATTATTTCAAAGAAAATTACAAAAAAATTGACAAACATAAATCACAATGAAATAATGTTGGAACATTATTTACATTATATATTGTATTTATAATCCAACTCTCAGTATCCTAAAAATACAGCGAAATTTGATAAACACAGGCAGATACAAAGACATCAGATCCATCATATTATAAAGCCCCGTATTTAGTGTGACTTAAAACTGTCCACAGATAAAATAGAGTAAAGGTGCTGTTTCACCAACTCAGACATCTGAATATCAATATATATTGTATTTATAACATAACAATATTTAGTCCATTACTTAAAACTTAAAATATGCGTAGGTCTTACTTTAAAACCTTAAGTCAAAATTATATATTATTTTCGTTGAAAATACGATATTTGTACCCATTTTTGACAATCTTCTTCCAACATTATTTAACGAGTACATTTCGCAGTCCATTTTTTAATTATCGTTCTCAGTTTTACGCCACAAATAGAATATTGAAAGAATTAAAACAAAAAATATTGCCATAAGGTATCAGTACCTTATGTACTGATAAGATTGATGTAACGATTTTCCTAAATACGATCCTTCAATTTTCGCCGGATAACAGGAGGATGTAAGTGGTCCATTTGTAGGACATTCTTTTACCGCATTTCGCAATAATATAATGATAACACAAATTCGTTCCAGTTTTTAAGCATGCTAATAACAGCTCATGATATATAATGGCATTGCAATCCAAGCAAGCACATAATACAGTATCAAAATTAAAGCAGTTCTAAATCGAGTGGATACAAAAACTTCTGGGATGGCATAAATGTAAGTAACACTTTATAGAGAAATATAGACCTCATGGTGGAATACTTCCAGAAATGGAAGATTAAAATTAGCAACGAAAAAACCAAGACTATATTCATAACACGAAAGAGAAGACAGCATCCTCCAGGAGTGAGCGTCGGTAGCACGAAGATACGGTGGGAAGAAAGCATAAAATATTTAGGAGTCACTTTTGACAAATAGCTTAACTGTTATAAACTTATGAAATGCAAACGAAATAGCTGTTCTAATAGCTGTTACATACAGCAAAGCCTCAAATACTGCCATAAAGCAATTACAGATAGCACAAAATCTGACTTTAAGAAGATTAATTAAGATTCTATGGTAAATCAGAACAACAGATACGCATAGAGTCTAAGGATCGACTCAGTGAAAAAATATATCAAGGACAGAGCCCTAAAATTATTCACAAAAGTTGATACGTTGCCCAACCCCGTCCTATCAAACCTTAAGTCTTTCACAGGACGCACAGGAAGATATACTGATCTACGGTACGTCATCAGTTAAAAGATAAATAAATGATAACAATTCTAGTACAAGTATAGTTAAGGCTTAGTAAGTGGCAGGGATAAGACCCCCCCCCCCCCAGCCACAAAAGAGTAAAAGTGCACAATAGCACTAACTCAAATCACAACAACAAAAACTTTTAATCCAATTTATTAAATATTGCACAATTTTTCTATACTTTCTATACTTTTAAAAATATTTTTGTTAATATTTTGAAGATTAACATCTTATTATGCTGACCAATTATAATACAAAATAAAACTACTGACGAAAAAAATATTCAGGACAGCTATAACATTGTGCAAACTGAAAAAAATGAGCCACAGTTGTTCTTAATAAGACAACATTTTGGGTATTTAATGCGGGTCTGAACTGAAACTACTTAATAAAAAAAACTACAATAAGATTACAATGTTCTTCATTTTATGGTTCCAAACATACATAACTGTAGAAAACACATTTCTGATTTTGTTTAAACTTAACTATTTGGTGCGATACAAAACGTCATTAAAATGTAATCGATTGCCCTTTTGAGATCATTATTCATGACTTGTCGGTATATATAGTAGCTGGTACTAGAACGAGAATAACTTAACAGATGTTCGTTTATAAAATGTCGAGAATTTCTGGATTATCGTTATACACACGATCGTTTCTACAACGTTGCAAAAACAAAAAATCCTGGGTGACAAAGGGCATGATGTTAGTGTGCATTTCACATCCACGAAGTTAGTCCCGTAACACAATTGAAGAACCCAATTCAATATAAAATTCATGCAATTCAAACTTCACAGTCATTGATATTTGATTTTTGACTTGTTTTGATGAAGAGACATTTTTTTTCATAAGAGTTATGATTTTGTTGTTTAACGATTTCTTAAATATGTTTTTTGAAATTCTGCGAAATACTTGGGTATGACTTTGGACGCAAAACTAAGATGGAGCGAGCACATAAAAAAGAAAAGAAGTGAATTAGATCTTAAATTCAAATCGTTGAAATGGTTAATCGGCAAAAAATCAAAACTATCGCTTTTCAATAAACTTGTATTATACAAACAAATGCTCCAACCAATCTGGACATATGGAATACAGCCATGGGGTTGCGCAAGCAAAACACAAATTTCCATCATTCAAAGATTCCAAAATTTCATGCTACGGAGTGTAACAAACGCTTACATCGTGACCTCGGAGTGTCAACAGTACAGGAAGAAATTCATGCCAAAGCCAAATCACACCAAGATAGACTTAGTTGTCACATAAATGCTTAGGCGCATTTACTAGCGACAACTGAGCCAATTCGCCGTCTAAAGCGCCAAAAGCCGTGCGATCTTTGGGCTTAAATCATTGAAATGTACTACAGTTAATTCATTATTGCGTGGAATCCCCTAATATGTTTAAATTTAAATTGCTTGTTAGTTATCTATAACTAGTTGCTTTATGTCTTGTTTTGTTTTATTTATTGTTCTTTAATACCATATATAATACCATATAAAACAATATACAAAACAAAAAAAAAACTGTTTCCCCTAAATAAAGTGTTGCAAAATATGTATATAGAATAGAATATTAACAGAGGATCGACTATTCAAGTCAATAATTATCAAGAAATAGTGACACTAGTTCAAAAAGTATCCGATTATACATTCAAAGTGATGTTACAACAACATTTAAGCCTTCTGCTCAAAAAATACTCGGATTTTGTAAATGAAACACACAAATTTAAATTTTATTCCAAATTTATTTTATCTCCTTCAAAATATGCTCCTTCTGAAGCGATACACATATGCCAACGCTTAATCCAATCTTTTATACACTTTTCGTAGGCCCGCGCAAGTATGGATTTTAGTTCCTTCAGCGAATTCTTTTTTACCGATTCAATAGACTCAAAACGCTTACTACGAAGGGGCAATTTGAGTTTCGGGAACAGGAAAAAGTCGCACGGATCCAGATCTTGCGAATATGGTGCCTGAGCGATAACAGTGGTGCCGTGTTTGGTCAAAAAATCGCGTACAACAAGAATTTTCCATAGTGAAAATCGCTAAATAGACTTAAGTTTGACAGATGGTCTATTAATTAAGGAGTAGTTAACAAACATCAAAATCCCGGCACTTTTTGAGCAGAAGATACGTGTATATATCATGACATTATTGCTGTATTTAAAAATGCAAAGTTTTGAATAATTCCAGAGTTTATTATACTTAGTGCTAGACTTTTGAAGTTATTCTTATAAGGATTTATTAAAGTAAGAGATTATAAGCAACTACATTACATTGAAATACTATAATATGAACGAAATTATTTATTAAGTTTTATTATTATTCAATATACAAAAGTGGTTTTCATCAGTTATATCGATGTAAATTGGAGTATATATATATATAAATATATATATTTAAAAACGATTTTATTTTTCTTACGAATTTATAAGTTAGAAATTAAATTGTAATCTTTCGTGAATTTAGTTTTGGGCTTCATTTTTTAATGTCTGGAATTGCATTAAAATCACCACATACGAAACAACCGCAGCAAAGATCTGAAATTAAAAATTTATTATATGTATATATATCTTATACATCGTTTGATAAATCTATGCAATTCTACATATTCGTTCCAATTTTTTTTTAATATTAATGATAAATGATATTAATTATCCTTTGTGTTATTTCATATTTAATTCAATAATAATTCGAGTTAACAGCACATTATGTTGCCAATATGAGTCGCTCTATTATCCTTCAAAATGAGAATATATTATAAAAGCAAATAAACTTATTAACAAGTAATAAGACGATAAAAATCATTTATAGTCTAAGAATGTTCTCTTAAGCCTATTATTAAAATTGCAAGATAATTTCGGAAGCATAGCTGTTTTATGGTAGCAAAACAAAACCTTTTATCTTAAAACTTGATTACATTTTTATATAATACGTACTTAAATGGTAATAACTCGTTTTCGGGGAATAGTTAAAAATTAACTCATCATTCTTAAATTAGTTTCGGCATCATTCTCTTCCATCCTTAGCTAGCGGATAAAAACAATATCATATATTTACAAACAAATACAACTAATTGCATAGAGACATTATATGGCGAATTCATTTAAAGATTTATTCATAACAATTTTTTTGATAGAAATATGAGTCAAAAGCTCTCAGTTTTCTCAGTAGACTCAAAGTACTCTCAGCTGACTATTTTCATCCATTTAAAAAGACACATTAAGGCAGTCGAAGAGAATATGCCAAGCAATTAACTTTTGTCAGATCAGATAATCATTCGTTTTAATTCTGATCCATCTTATTCATCTGAATTTATTTCAGGCGGTGACTTTTGACTATTTTGCAAACTAAAATTCGCGACGAAAGATAATTCTTTCAATACTATATCGGTCATTTAAAAAACTTCAAAAGACATACCAAAAGCAATTTCGTCCGATGAGTTCCAAAAATATTGCAAAAACTTTGTTGTATGGTTTCACTGCTATATTGGATCGGAAATTCACCACTTCAAGTAAGCAAAAATAAGCAAACACGCTTTGCATCTTTTTTGAGACTAGTCACATCGATTCTAAAACACAGTTTGTTTCGAAATGGCAAGGAACTATTCGTAAAATTATTGACGACGTACGTATATTAACCTTGGAATTTTAAAAAAATTATATAAACCATTAATTAATTAAAAATAATAATAAGAATAATTTTTTGTTGTTACAATATCACTAGTGTTCGACAACATAATTTCAAAATAATCCAACGTTTAAAAGCACCATGGCACATTAGGAACAGTGATGTAAAATTGTCCAGTCACTGACGAAAGCAACATGTTTCACACTGAGGTTGCAGCAACATTTCGACTAAAACGGCGAAATGTTGCTGAAATAGCAACGAATTAGTTTCTACAGTAATTTCGTTTGAAAATTGCTTATTTATGTATTTATATTATTGATCAGACACAAGCTACTCGTTGTTTATAATGCAAATAGGCGTAGCAATAAAAAAATTAAATCTATTGAAAATACTCGTAATAGTTCATATTAAGAATATAGTTTCTTTCGTCGAAACAGGCTTTAACAATCAATTTAATAGTTGAAGATATGTGCAGCATAAAAAATCTTTCCAACTGAGACACAAAGAGCTGGTAAGTTTTGGTATGGAGTTAAAAAGTCTTACCTGCATCAGCAATTGTAAATCAATAGTAAAAAATTCCTTTGGCGTTATGAGCAAAGGATCCTGCTTGATTTGGGTACAGAACTCAGCCACTAAATTATTATAAGCTTTTGTGGTGTTATCATAACAAGACGTACATAAAAGTCGTTGAACAAATTTCATTGTATTAAGATGCTAAAATAATAAGAACGCATTATTTACATGTAGAAAGCAAATTGAATATGTATTTGTTATATATTGAAATTATAAAAATATTTTTAATTCACATCACTTACTTCCCTTTTACAATATTCCCCGCTATAGCAGATCATAACAACAATGACAATAAGTGGCATTACAAGTGACGTAGTAAAATATATCATTGAGAATGGATAGAGATCAACAATGGTCATAAAAATCCAATACACATTTACAATGATATCAACAAAATTAATTGTGAATAAGCTAAACATCGACCAACCACAAAACTCATTAAAATGTATCACCAACTCATAGATTTCATTGTAAATATTTTTTAATTGTAACAGATATTCCAAGGACTCAATTGCATCATAATTTAAATCCAAGTGTATGTGCTCTTTCCGTATTTTACAGTTTACAACAGACTTCAATTTTAAATTCAACATTTCCATATACATCACAATATGGTCTATATATACCATAATTTGCAGGAAACGACCACGTAATACCAATAGAGACGGTATAGAATACAAAAAGTAAGCTGTGTAGTTCTGTAGACATATGACCAGCGATGCAATAATAATTCCCACTCCAACCGTTATGATGAAAATTAAATATTTTATTCTCTGATGTTTACGTCGAAACAAGGACCAATAGCTGCTACTTATCATATGTAGCTGAATACGAAAATTTTTCTCTAGAAGTTTACACTTCTCCAAATAAATATCAAATTTTGTGCAATTAAATATAACCTCAGTCAGTATTATAGATAAGCAAAAAGTCTTCAGTATGAAAACAATTATATTGACGAAATTTGATATCATCAAATTATCCTTAATCTGCAGTGTAAAAAGGCTGTAAATCGTTAAAAACCAATTGAATAAGAGTATAGTAGTAGCGTATATTTGCTGCATATATTTATATTGGTTCCGATGTTGCTGCTGATAGTACCGAAACGGTACCAATCCCAGAAATGCAAAATGACATAACCAAAAATCTTGCACCGTCATGAAAGAAGTAGGTATCTTACACCTGATTTCTCTAATATCAGATTGTTACCACAAGAAAGTGTACAACTTCACTAAAAAACCACACCGTTTCAGTAGACTTTCAGGCTGCAATACGAGTGTATATAATTCGTTAAAAAAACGTGATAGACACGATAACGCCTGGTTTTTTTATTCATTACACACAATTTGTAATATTAATTTTTAATGCCTGCCATAAAGATAACTTCACATGAATTTATTACTCACGTGAATTTTCAATTTTCCCAGCTGTAAATTATTTGCGTTTTTAAAACAAAAAAAAATGTAAGTAAAAATAGTTACTAAAATAATTTAATTAATTTCGTATTAGAAAAAAAATTGAAAAATTGCGAAATGCTAATCGAGTTTAATTGATCACTTTTAGTTTTAATATTAAAGACTCAAATGTATCTGTATTTTTTATTATTTTATTATAAATATTTAATAATAAAAATTTATAATTAATATATAATAATTATTTAAAAACTTATAACTTATGTAACTGTAAGTATTTCATACACAAAACATATTGACCAGCACCCAATTATTGGAGGAAGATTTATTTCAAAGTTAAACCATTAGAAACTCAAAGCAGATTTTACTTATTGCAATTAGATATTATTATTATTATTATTATAAGACATGCTTAGTTTATCTGTGTCGGCTCTTATACACTAGTCAACAGAAAAACTCTAACTTGCCAAGACGAAATCTTATTATACAATTGCCAAGTCCAACAGAATATTACTAAGCCTTAACTAAAGAAAGTGGAGTAAGTATACCTTGTAACGATGTTTAGAGAAACATTCATTCAAATCCCTTTAGATACAATCATAGAAGCACCAAAGTGTGTCTACTATTTTATTTCTCTCAATATATGTGAATGTGACCGTTAATCTAAATACGAGTTATGTCAACAAGTTGATTATCCTCAATTTTGCTGCTATCTTCTCTGACGACCTTTGATTTATTCGTAAATTATTGAGAAACTTATATTGCTGCTTGAGAAACTTATATTGTCGATAAAAACACAAATTTACACCTATCTCTGATGTGATTTGTATCTAATCTACAAGCTTCGAGAATCATTTAAAATTTAGCCTGAAATATTTTATCTTTAGTGAATAGCGAGAATATTCCTGCACCTAAGTTGCAGCAAATGTTTAAGCCATACGTCAAAATTAAGATATTTTCATTTATTCAAGGGTTTCTTTATTTTTTTTTCTTTTTGAATGGACTTATCTTTATCACAGAAAGTTTATTCTTCTTGCAAGGCAACTTTCTATAATTTGGATGTCGTGGAACATAATGTATTCTGATTTTAGTTTTATAAGACCATTCATAACTATGGTAAATTAAGTAATAAAATAATTTGAATGGTACGGTGCACCAGGTTGGAACGTCTCATAATACGAAGGCGGTTTGACAAGTCAGTGACTTTTTGAATTTCCCGCACAGTTAGTTCAAATGCAACAGTGCTGCCGTCAGCTGTAATTTCATCCTTCAGTTGGTGTTTGATAGCCGTTCAAAGCAGACAACCTCGTGAATTTTTACGAAAATAGAAAAAAGTGAATTTCGTGTGCTGATTAAGCATTTCGATCCCAAAGTCACAAATTGGGATACGAACTGCTACCCCATCCAGCATATTCTCCAGTTTTAGCCCCTTGTGACTATTTTCTGTTTCTAAACCTAAAGAAATGAGTGGGCGGTAAGAGATTTCAGTCGAATAAAAAAGTCATTACCGACACACACGCGTATTTTGAGAGCTTTGAGAAAACCTATTATTTGGAGAAAATAAGAAAATTAGGAAAATGTCGGAAAAAATTTGTTTTATTCAAAAAGTCACTGACTTATCAAACCACCCTCGTAGACAGTTCTCTTCAAACCCCACAAAACACTCAACATTTCACTGTTTGTTGTCAATTCAGGCTTTGACGTCGTATGTGAAAGATTTCTGGGCATTGGTCATAATTACTTGTATTGAATGTTCTTTAATCCATTTTTCATAGCTCGTAGTGATGCGCTTCAAAAATATTTCATTTTCGTTGCGTTTCAGAAGGAATTCATTGATCTTAATTCAGTCAATCAAATTTCAAGTGATATTCAAGCATTGAGCTTCATTGCGTAGCCTACTCTTTTCAAATAATTCTAAACTTTCATGTGGTTGTTTAGTGCTTCTGCTATCTCTTGATATGTCAGTCTGACCGACGAGAGCGATTAAAGTTTTTGGAAAGGATTTTACCGAACCAGTCTCGGGCCCGGCGCTTCCTCAAAGGATCTGAATTTTTTGGCATCTTTTTTCAGCATTTTTACCTTTTTATAATAATAAATCATCACATAGAGTTTGTCTTCAGATATTTCACTCATTTTCAAATAACATAACTTCTCACTCAAGCAATATATTTCACAATCGTCTTCACAAAAAATGTAACCCAAAATGTTACCTTTCAAACACATATTATTCGTTGCTTAAAATCGGATTACTGTTACCAGATATATGGGCATCAAGACCATCTAGGGACAAAAAACGTTGAATAGTTTTCATGTGTGTAGCAATTGCTTGCAAATTCCATTATTGGTTAATTCGCCGAATTAACCAATAAATTTTAGCTTATGAAGTTATCAATTTTAAAATATTTAAAATTTGCTTCAATTCGATTTTTGCTAATTTTTAGCAAAAATATTTCTCATGGTCGAATGGCCAAAAAGCTTATCAGTAATAGCGTCAATACGTGACTTCCGTGATGAACGCGAGCAGTGCGAAAGAAGAAGAAGTTTATCAATACCAGAATTTATAAAATGAAATTATTAAATAAAATATCACAAGCAGTGGCTATTATTATTAAATAAATTATTAAAATTAAATCAGCTGATGTTGTACTCATAGAGATTTTGTTTGTTTATGCAATTCCCAACTGTACACATCACCAGTACCTGAATGGTATAAATACCACTTGAAAGCAATATGTTATGTTTCCATGCCAAAATATAACAGATAACCTCTATAACTAATTGAACCACTTTAAACGAAAATAACTGAACTGAGAGAGCTTAGTATTTTTGGAACCAGTTAGAACCGGTAATCTAGCACAGTTTGATAAGATGTTCATATACATTTTAAGGCAAACGCTGGCACCAGTGACACAATGAGAGTCGTGATTATGATAACGAAATAATTACAGCGTTCATTTTGATTAGATTTAGCGCAATTAAAGTATAAAAATACTATTTATTAGTTTGTCTGAGTTAATTATGCCACTTTGGTGAACCAGTTCAAAGTGGTTCGGAAATTTTTTCGTACTTATCTGAAATTTGCTCAAGAGGTTTTAACATTTGACGCGGTAATTAAGTTAGATATTGTAAACATTTGTCAAATCATTTGTTGTTCTAGTGTTAAGATCTAGTAATAGACATAGCAACAGAAGTTATTACTTTTTTACATACGTTTTAGACTACACTTAAACAGTATCAAACAAGTAATTCTACATCTCTACATACTCTACATCTGGTATTTTTTAGGTGGAATTATTTAAAACTAAAATACAATGTATACAATAGATGCCTGGATCCTTAAGAGTATTACATAAGCCAAAAGTTACATATTCATCTTGTGAGCGGATCCACTAGTCACCTAGAATTCCATTGACCCCGTTGCCATATGACTATCATATGCTTTCTGATCCTCGGTCTTGATGGCAGAAAATATACAAATCCCTTGCGAATTGAAGAATTGGAATTATTTCTAATAATCGTGAATATTTTACTTCTCTTACTGATCAAACGTTCCATAAAATCGGACTGGTCGCACAATTGTCAAATTCTGTTGCATACATAAAATGTCATTTGGTTTTGTCCAGATAAAACCAGATATGTTTTGCTTAAAAGAGGGAAACGTTTTCAAAGCCTCTGCATTTTAGCATCTATCTCATCGCATCAAAAAAAAATTAATACAAGAACAGAACCCTTTGGGATCAAACCCAACGTAGTATATGCACCTATGATAAACGAAAAAACTTCTTCATATTATAAGGTATACTGACTCTCTTATATTCATATTGTTTAATATAATATGACTGAATACCGGTAATTATTAATATTTCTACATTATTCTCTACTACGCTCAGGTCCAGGATTGGAAGCACGGAACTTATACAAATAAGTTCACTACACTAAATACTACGCTCTTAGGTAAATATTTGTATAGAAATTTCGTTACTTATTCATATAAACTGAAAAAGAAATTAGAGTGTACGTGCGGAATTAGTATATATTTTATCAATATTTGCATATATGTACACAACTATACTTCTTACATACATGTATATTATATTTGATTAAAGAGCTACTTATTACTGGAACATTAGATTACAGAGTTTATTTTTAAGTATTTACTTATTGATTAGTGTTTTAATGTGAAAAATAAATTATTTTGATAGCTTTGTCTGACTTAATTGTGCCACAAAAATAACAAACCAGCTCAAAGCGGTTAAAAATATTTGCAGAACCGGTTAAACAAAAATAATGTTTGGACTTTATCAATTGTTAGGTTCAAAATATGTCTATGAGATTATGAATAATTTGTGACTGATACCGTGAGACAATAAAAGTGCTGGATCATTTAAATTCACTCCTTGGGGATTTGT